TGGCGGTTCTGACCAGCCGAAACGGCCGCTTTCGTGTATTTTGCCAAAGAATCCATTGCTTACGGTCGGAATATCCGGCCAAGGTTAGCCTTGAAGCTGTTGCTTGGAGGGGAGGATCTTGTGTCCCAGAGGTTAAGGGAAGAAGAGGCTGAAAAATGGTTTGATCGTTTAATAACATAACATCCAAATACATGACATCCAAATGAACAAATGTCTGTGTCACATAGATTAGGTTTCCTTAAACTTCCTGACTGAAACGTGGTGCCTGCAGTGTCAGATCCATCTTGAAGCGCTTAGCTATTGCAGAGTCTATAAGCCACAGTGAGAACACGTTCGTTTTCCTACATAAAGAATGAAGCGCTAAAAGCAGTACGACCTTAAATGCTGTGAGACGTGATTAGGCAGGACAGTTTGTAAGCAACTCCAGTGAAACGATTTGCAAGGTGTAACTTTTTCCAGCAAAAGCTCAGGTATCTCCTCTGCTGCTGCAGGCCCTGCTGCTGCAATGATGCACCTAGGTGTTAATAGGTGGAGGGAGCCTTGTCATGAGTCGATGTCATTCTCCCACGCTTGCCAGGACCTCAAGACCTGTGTCACCACGCTGTTAATACATAACACCCCTGCCTTCAAGACTGGTATAAATAGATGTATCTCTGCCACTGAATGATGTGCTGTTAGCACTTTGCTGATAGTGCTTGTATAATTTTGCCCATGCCCAGTTAGGGGTTTTAGAGAGAGAGCTATATGATGCCTGGTTATTTCTAGTGTGCCTGAAGTTGTAGGGGGCTTTGCTTGAGTTTGGCTGTGTTTTAAGAGTGGGTGAGGAAGACACCACTGAAAAATGGGTTAGGAGGTGACTGGCTGGACAGGCAGAAGGCCAGGCAGGAAGACCTATCTTAAAATATTAGGATCTGCTGTTCTGGGGTATGGACTCCTTTATCCATTGCCCCATGGGGGTCTGCAGAAGGCTCTTGACTGGCATGGTGTTACATGGCACTGGTATCTCTGCAGCCTCCATATGGTAGCACAGCACAGGGACTGACTGTCCATGTAAATGTTGCGCACTTTGTGTCTCAGTGTCTAAGAATAACATCAGAGGGAGGTGGCTCCATGACAAGCATCTGATCCATCATCTCCCAGGACCCCCACAGAGAGGAGAAAAGAAAAACTATCCAAAAGAAAAATGAGCCAGATTCTTTCCACCTGCCCAAGCTCAGACTTTCACTGAGCGTTCCTCCCTATGTTACGCATGTTTCTTCACAAACAGTCTCTATCGCTGAGGACTTGTGGGTACTCTCTGCTTCTGGGCTGCCCTCTGTGGCCCTTAGCTGCCTCCTGAACCGAGAGAAGGCCATCCTCAGGGAAGAATACAGCTCTTTACTCCGCAGGGCATAAATAATGGGGTTCACCATGGAATTCAGCAGGCAGAGGGTGCTGCAGAAGGCAAACACCCTCCGAAGCTGATTGCTCAGCCTCACAAAGATGCTGTAGATCATGAGAACCAGGACTGGAGACCAGCACAGCATGAGGACAGTCAGTACTATCACTAGCGTCTTGGCCAGCATGACGTCCATCCTCATCCTGGCATTTTGCTTCCCACCCTGCACTTGCTGCTTCCCCATGTAAGCCACGTGCTGATGAGCCTTCCACAGCACACGTGCATAGGCACAGACTATCGACACCAGCAGGACCATGATGAGGCAGATCCAGCTTGACAGATAGTTGTCATCCACAAATGGGAACAGCTCAGAGCAGGCTGAATCGAGAATGCAGCAGTTCCAGCCCAGAAGGGGCAGGGAGGAAATGGTCACACATGTCATCCAGAGCACCCCCAGGGCTACCCACGCTCTCTTCCTTGTCACAAGAGACTTGTATTCGGAGGGCCGGCTGATGGAGATGTAACGGTCCAGGGCCGTCAGCAGCAAACTGCTCAGGGATGCTGTGAAGGATGTGTTGACCCCTCCCAGCTTCAGCAGGAATGTTTCTTTAGAGGAATCAATTGTATTAAAGACATGGAAGTTAACAAAACTGGAGACGAAGATGATGCTGGCCAGGATGTCAGCCAAGGCAAGGCTGCTGATAAAGAGGTAGGAAGGTTTTTTCCGAATTGTGGGGGAAGAGAAAATCAGATACAACACCAAAGAGTTCTCCAAAATGCACAGTGTCCCAAAGAGGCAGCACAGCGTGGCAATGCTTATCTTCTGCGCTTGTGTGCTGAGAACCATGAAACACTCCATGGGCATGGCGTTCGCACTGCATTTGGAGGTGTTTTCATGTACCTTGCATATATCCATAGTAGTTAACTGGGGCCAGGAGCTTGCAGAGAGCCTTTTTTCTTCCTTCTGCATTTCTTCAGATGCTCTGAAAAAGAACAAGGGGAGGGTGGGGGATCACACTCACAGGAGCACAAAGAGCAATAAATTCAACCTACTTGGGGACCTCTCTCCCTTTAGAGGAGTACACGCAAAAGAAAAAGAGTCTTTCTCAACAGAGATCAAGGGTTTCTCCCACTGGTGATTTAGCTGTGATCTGTCTGTCCCAGCTGGTGGGTACAGCCTCTGTCTCCGAGGCCGTTTCCTCACCACAAGAGGGAAGCAGTAACGCTGATAACTGCGCAGATTCCTGCGCCAGCTGTTACCTCGTCTCCAAGATTCACGCTCGCAGCCCGAGCGGGGCCAGCAGAGGTGGAAGGGCTGTTGTGGCTGCCCATGCCAACACTGTGCTGTGGCTGCGGACAGGCCCTGGAGAACAACCTCTCTGAGTGATACTGCCTGAGCGGTCAGGAAGATGGCTGGGTTGGAGAAGGAGTAGGGATATTGCGCTGCTGGGGACTCAGTGAGCCTCCTCTGGGGACACAAAGTGCATTTGGAAGCATTTACTTTTCGCCAAAGAGTGTTCAAATATACAAAATGACAGGGTTTTTACACTTAAGCTTGCACATTACAGTTTTATAAACCTCAGCCACATTAAAGTTGCATTTCTCTCCCCATAATCCCTGTGTCAAAGGTGAATTATAAATGCTTCTAATTTTCTCTCCAGTTGATTTCACTCTTGTCCCTAGGCAAGTCTCAAAAAAAAAAAAAAAAGCCTTTAACTATGTTTTATTGTCACACATACCGCAAAAGGAACAGGGAAAGAACCTGGCTGTGTGTAGGCATGATCTCAGTCCTGAAACGGGGCAGCGCAGAGCAATTGCTGCCTGGAGGGGCCTGCCCAGGCAGTGCTGGGGAAACTGAAGTAGAAAGGCATTATCGTTTGGAAGTGTTTTGTGCAGGGCTGGCAGCACAAATGGCAGCTAATACTCTCTGCTCTGAGTGGAAAAGCTGTAGTGCGGGGTGAGGGTGAAGAGGTACAAGCGTAGGAAGCCTCTAGTAGAGGCACGGGAGACTGTTGTGGAGTAAAGCCTACCCAATAACTGTGTTCACTATAAACATGCATAACTTCTCCAGTGGTTATTTTAAGGAAGGAATAATTTCTTTCACTTATGCGTAAGTAACGTAGTGGCTGCCTCTGTGTTGGCCACACTGCTGGTGGCTTCAAAATCAGCCACAGAAAGGCCCATCTCATGCCCAGCTGCAGGCAGGGAGAGACAGATTCAGGAAGAAATAGATGGACTGCAACCAGGGACCAAAGGCTATTTGTGCTGTACCTATTGCTGCAGTGAAGGATTCCCCTCGGTGCGGATTTGGGTGCCACAAGCCATGGGAAGATTCAAATCCAGCTCTGCAGAGGGTTGCACAGCCAGGGTGTCCCTCGTGTTCCCAGTGCAGAAAGTGAGGCGGAGAAGGCGAAATAAGGTCGAATGCTTTCCCTCATTTAAAGGATATGCCCTGTGGAACTTCCTTTTCTCCTGAGGCCAGACACAGCTCGCTGCAGGTGCCTCCACACTGGCCAGGCAGGTGAAGGAGATGCTGGACGCATGCTCATGCACTCAGAGCCAGTATTGCCGGGTCAGAAACACTGCAGCGCTCGGAGCAGCGGCAGCTTGGCTTGTCCTGGAAGGAAACCTTGCAAATCTGTCTGCGCCCAGCCTCAAGGCTGCAGTACCTGCCCTCCCCGGGCTCCCCCCACCCCGGCCCGGGTTAGGGACCTGCCTGGCCCGGCCCTGCGGGGATCAGCCCTGGGGGAAACGTCCCATGGCCCTCCTGCAGCAGGGAGTGGGCAGAGCTGTTTGCAGGCTGCAGGCTGCAGATGATGGGAACGTCCCACCCTCCCCAGCAGTTGCGTTGAGGCTGTTTGTGCGTCTGTCTGCCTCCCGCTCTAGCTGGACCTCCTGGCAGTTAAACTGAGACACTGGCAATGCAAGTCTAGCCCAGATCTCTGTAGGGATCAGAGCAAAGTCTGCAGGAGAAGACGCCTGCAGCAAGACTCCGTATATCCCAGGGATGGAACTGCCAAAATAGCAGTGCCGGCACAGCCCTGCCCTTCCTCAGTAATGTTACCATCGCTTATTTCTGTAGCAGCAACATTTTGCCTGATTTCTGTGTGGCCACATTTGCCATCCACATCAGATAATATTGCCTGTTATCTCAGCCTCTTGCTGCTCTTCCGCGCGCGGTCACGAAGCACGCTGCCGCCGGCTGGTCAGGCCGTGGCTGCATTGCCTCGGGGAGAGGGAGCGAACGGGCGGTTAGTGGGGACCGCGCTGCTCTTCCACGTGCCTGCAGTGCCTGGGAGTCTGGAGAGGACGAGGCACTAAACACTTTGGAGATTTTGTTAATGAGGAACAGAGCCTTTCTTGGGATCACCAGAACAAGCACATGATCAGAGTGATTACAAGTTATTGTTTAGCATAAATATAACAGTGCGGGTAGGAAATATAGACAAACGTGGACGTGACGGGAGTTAGATCACCTGAACCTAGAAAGCCTTGTACATGCCCAGGATTAGGTTAGTTTTGTGAACACTTTTAGCAGAGATCTGGTAGAAGGAAATGCCTTATTTTTCCTTGGTTAGATGTTAAGCTGTTTGGTGCGTTCTATAGCAGCTCAGCCATGTATTTTTTCTACATTTCTGCAGCTTAATACATTTAAATACATTATACTGATGAGCTTGC